AATTTGGGTAGATCAGTCTGTGTATGACGTGCCTTCTTTATTTACCAGTTAGTAATCAACTATACATTTATTGATTTCCAAAGTTGTACTAGAAGGAATGGTATAGAAAAAAATATAAGGTATGATCTTTAAAGAAACATATTGTGCCAACCAGATAACTCATCTGCTTAGACAGAGTGCAATGGCTGGTGCTCGAGCCTGGGGCTGGTCCCGGCCCCATCCCCGGCCCCGGCCCCGGCCCCATCCCCACCCCCAGGGTGCACTAAGACAGTGATTGAGACTGGGCATGGTAGCGCATGCTTGTAATCCCAGCGCTTGGGAGGTTGAAAACAGGAGGATCCCTATGAGTCTGATCTACAGTGAGACACTGTAGACCCTGTAGATCCCGTACTGAATAAAGGAAGGAGAAGGAGGGTACCACTGCCTTGAGTTTAGAGAATAACTAAATAGCAAACTCTGGCCCGTTGATCCTGTGGGTATAATAGGATTAGAAGAGACTTGGTGCAGTAGTGTTAGGATACCAGAGACTGGGTAGCGCATAAACAGCACAAATCTACATTCCAATTTCTAAGGTCAAGGCACTTGGCAATTCATGTGCAAATGAGAGTCTACTTCCTAATTCATGATTCGCAGAATGCCCTTCCTGTGTCTTCTTACAGGGGAGAAGAGTCAGCTCTCTTAGGGGCATGAGCCCTGTTCATGAGGGCTCCACCTGCATGATAGCATCCGTAATACTCCCAAAGACTCCTTCCTCTTACTCTCCATAATGTTTGGGTGTAAGATTTTCCAACATCTGAATTTAGGGATACAGGACCCAAGCACTTAATGGTGGGTTTTGGCAGTTGAATAGGATTTGGATTTAGGGGTGCTGCAGAGTACAACACGCAGAAGAAGTAACATAGAAGGGAGCATTGAAGGTACATTGCTTGTGTGCATGGCTAATTTGGGAGAAGTCTTGAAATCTGGTGAGAGAGTTGGGATTCTACATGCAAACTACTAAAAATCTTTGAAATGAAAGAAGCATTGTAGAGATGTGAACTTCATGTTCACCCTTCTAAAAGAAAAGTGAGAGGAAAACAGAACTGTAACTTAAATTGTCTGTAGGCATCACATTCTAGGGCCTTTTGTCTTACAGGGTTCCCTTTAATTATTTGAGGTGAGAGCAGTGGCTGTGGCCTCATTACTTAGTTCACTGTGCTTCTGATACATCTCTCGTGGTGTTGGCATTATTTTGTGCTTACTGAGTACCGTTTGAGATGTGGTGCTATAAAGTTGCATTTTCTTTAGACATTGCTGTACACTGCTAGTTTCCTTTAGACAACTTGTACTGTATCAGTGATCTAAGTTAGTCACAAGGAACCTTTTAGAGACTAAGTGCCCAAAGTACAACCCACAGCCTTTTACCACAAAGTGCCAACATTGCAATTCAACCTGAATATTAAAGTTTAGTTGGGAAAAATTCTTTATGTTAACATTGTTATCTTGAAAGAAAAACACAGTAACAGAGCTTTCAGTGATACAAATAGCTTTTTATTAAAAGGTAAAAAGAGTTTGCATTTGGTGTATGCATGGTGATGATTTATCAGAGTTTGGCTCATATTTTGTCAGTTTGGGAACAACACACGCCGCACTCTGGTCGTTTGTTAGTCTGTTTCTTGTATTGGATTTGATATAATTCAAAGCTGAAAACAGCTGCTTCCAAGCATAAGATAATCCAAGCAAAGTAAGAAAAGTAATCCCAAGTGCTTTCATTGACTTAAAATTATTTGGCAGAGAATTCCACACTTTAAGGATTTCATTTTCAGAACTACCAACTGTACTGTCCTTTGTCATTCCTTCACACTCTGTCTTCTGTATCTTTTCAAGTCTCCCACAGATGTCATAAAATTTATTTTTCCAGATAGAACTGTCGTGAAATTCCAATAGCTTCATTTCCAGATGTCCAAAATCTAACCCATGTAAGCAGGAAAGATCAAGTTCTTCGAAGCTGGCTCTATCTGGAGAAGAAAAGAGGCTTGTCTCCATCTTACAGAACCATAAAAATCTGTTCCTAAAATTCTCCTTTGCAGCTGCTCAAAGCTAAAAAATTCCTTGTACATTTCCTGATGGCTTGTAAGTTCATCTGCAAATCTAGAATTTTCTAAATGCATTTTTGGATTAGGAAAATATATTAGCTGCCCACTTTCAAGGCCTCTTTCAAAAACCTGCAGTTCTCCCTGAAATGTTTTGATGTTACAAAACATCCTTTCTGTTGTTTTCCCTATACACTGTAGGTTTTTTTTTTTCAGTACTTTGAAGTATATTGTAAAAGGTATTAAGTGAGCACATATCAGTGAGCTGTGGATATTTCTACCCTGTTCCATTTGCAGACAGCCTAATTTCATTCAAACAGGCTACAGATCTCTTCAAGATGCATCCTCTGGCGGTGGCGGCGGCCGCGGCGTCTTCAGCGGCTCCCAGTGCAGGATGGTGCTGGAAGCGGCGGCCGTGGTGGCGGCAGCGTTTCTGGCGGCTGCGGGAGGGGGAGCGGTGGCAGCAGCGGTGCCCGCGGGGGGGTTTAAAACAGCGGATTTCGAAGAGTTGAGGAATATGGTTTCTAGTTTTAGAGTTTCTGAACTACAAGTATTACTAGGCTTTG